CTGGTCACAACGGCCTGTGTTTAATCATTTGTATTATGTTCAATCATATGTCCAACAACTGCCCTTTTTCTTTATAGGGGTTCTTTTCATCTATTTGTCAGAGCCCAGCTTAACGTCAGCTGATAGCCCCGGGTTCTCAGACAACAAGGAGGGAAACAGTAACACAACACCAAGGGAGAACAATTCAGTTAGTTAGCTCTTTTTTTATTCCCCAACGGAATAAAATGCTCCGTTTTCTTGTTTGCATAAAACAACAATAAAAATATTAAAATGTCCAAATCAGAACAAACTACAATCGTCCAAGAGGGCCAACATCCATAAAATCCAGTGAGGACGGCGAATCCTGCGCTCCGTCCAGCCTATAGTCACAGCCCCAGCGCCACCGCCTCCTGTGGTCGTTCCAGCCACTCTAGTTGCTCCGCGTAAAGCGCCGCCCGCTGGCGTCCTGTTAGGACAAAAACACCTGGCCAGAAGAGCGATCGCTGAACAGCGGATATTTTATCTGTCCCAGCGAGGGTCCCTGAGGACAATCAGTGGAAACGTTACTTACTGACCAGGGCAGAGTTCCCCCTCTGCCCGCTGACGGTCCGACACGTCGTTCCCACTGATTGTATCCTCTGCTGTCAACCACTGGCTCGTTCGGGGTCGCAGTCCTCCGTCACGAACCTTCCTGGATTCCCCTTTTTCTTCACTTCTCAACGCGAAGTCCTCTGCCTTTTAAAAGCCACAGCCAGCGTCTTGCAGGTTCCAGGTATGCTGCCTACAGGCACGCCCACCCCGCGCAGGTGACTGGAATCAGCTATTAATTCTCGGAGTCCACAGTGAATAAAAAAAAACAAAACATGCAGCGAAAACACTCAACAAAAACCACACTTAAAAAGCAAAAACAAATTTCCACTGTGTGACATCTCCCCATATTTTAACTGCGCCAGTCCCTGGCACACTATTCAAAGTCTATACCGTGCAGGGGGCTGGCCAAAGTTCGACCTTGTTGAACGCCGCAGGTCAGGTAATCCATCCTGCAGAGCTGGAACATTAGGAACAACACAATAAAATGGCGGTTCAACCAGGGTCTGCACCTCCTGGTTGTCTTCTGGAGCAGGTGAATAGTTATCCGTTGCAGGGGTAATGCACAACTTTAATGCGTTCCGATGAAGAACCTTTTCCCTCCCTCCCTTTTCTGGACGTACCCTATAAACCACACCCGTGTCACCCACACGTTCCAATACCACATGTGGTTCAGGACTCCAACCTGGATGGAGCTTTCCCTGGCCCTGTCTGTCCCGGTCTTTTACCCACACCCTTTCCCCTGGGACTAACGGCAGGGCTTGAGCCCTTTTGTCATAAACCCTTTTATTTTGGGTGGCTGCACTATTCTTGTTCTTCCTTGTCATTTCGTAAGCAAAAGATAACTTTTGATAATGATCCCTAACCCACCCCTTCAGGTCATGACAGAGGGGCTCTGGGTCAACACCCAGGTTCACATCCACTGGCTGTCTCAGATGTCTCCCAAACATTAGATAGGATGGTGCATAACCTGTAGCACCATGGACAGTGTTATTGTATGCTTGTAGCAGTTCTGGGAGGAATTCTGGCCACCTCTGTTGTTTCTCAGCCTCGAGTGTACGAAGCATATGCAACAGAGTCTGATTCAACCGCTCGACCCCACCATTCCCAGCAGGATGATATGGTGTAGTTTTACTTTTTGTAATACCATAACACCGGCATAACTGATACATCAAGGCCGACTCAAAACTCGCTCCTCTATCTGAATGCAGCCTAGCAGGGCAGCCAAATGTTTGGATCACATGAGCCCATAGGGCATGCACTGCAGTCTGTGCAGTTTGATCCTTCGTGGGCACTGCCCACGCATAGTGGGTGAAAAGATCTGTCATGACCAGAATGTTCTGATACCTGTCTGTGGGCCTCCCTAAAGTAAGGAAGTCTAAAGCTACAACCTCCAAAGGATAAGACACTTTAATAGGATGTAGAGGAGCTCTAGGTGCCTCTCTATTTCGCAGGCTACAGACAGCGCAACCCAGCTGGAATTCCTGCACCTCACCTTCCATACAGGGCCAATAGAAGAAGCGACGTATCCTGGACAGAGTCTTCTCCACCCCAGCATGAGCAGCTGCCTCGTGGTACCTCTGCCACACCTCCTTGCGTCTTTCTGTGGGACATAGGATCTGAAAGTAGATTTCGTGTGTCCTTGCGTCCATCACCTCTCTGCACAGCATTCCGTCCCGAAGTTGGAACCGCCTCCACTGTTTTAGCCACTTCTGCACCGACTCAGGCAGTGCTTTCCTGGTTGGGGCATCAGGGAGGGCTCCCCGTTTCATGTAGGTTCTCAACATCTGCAGTCCAGCATCTTGTTCTTGAGCCCCCTTCC